ATCATGTGGCTGGTCTTTCTGGCATGGGTGATCCCCATTCTCAATCATCAGTCTGTGTCAACTATCCGGTGCAGTTGGAGGGTCTCAATAGGAAGAGCAAAGACATTCCAATCACTGGGAAATCTCAAAGGTTTACAGGTTACCTCTCAGAACCAGGGATGAAGGCCAGCCAAATTCTTTGTTACATGCAGTCTCCAGGCTGCATGTTTACCCATCTCCCTCATTAACTTCTTGAGGTCACGGAATATGCTGCCTTGTTCATCATTTTCTTGCAGTAAACACAAAGTAGGTACTCAAAAAATACTGTACAAATGATCAACACACTGCAATTATTAGGCCAAGTTTATTCCAGCTTTAATTCTAAACCATCACCATTAGGGAGTTGTTAAAATCCTAAGGCACTGCAGCTAAGGCAGTTGTCTCGGTCTAGATTCTTCTTGTGCATTGCTTGGTTCCCTTCAGCCTATTGATTTTCTCTTGTGTCTCATGCCAGTCCACTCCTCACAACATCCAAGACACTTCAAGTCAGAGTTTTGGCTCTCTTATGCTGAGATTGATATACTTAATGCAGTGTGGAAACTCACAAAGTCTCCATTTACTGTTTTTATTAGTTCTGGCTCCTAGCTACTGCATGGATCCTTGTAAATGCAGGAGTAATATCAAGTTTCTTTTCTTAAATGCTTTCTCTATGAAAAACTGCTTGCTTTACTTGCTTGAATCCTTTCTGCTGCTATGGTGGAGCTAGAATGGTCTGATGCATGGCAGAGAGGTTTTGACTGCTCTGACTTTCATCTATTCAAAGCTGCTTCCAGGTTATTCCATTGTGAAGTAGTCACTTTAAGTCCTCCCCTCTCTTTATGACTTAAAATACCTTTATTCTGTGATTACTTTTTATGTTGCATTATTAAATATCTCCCTGACTATCCAAGATACTCCTTCCCACAGGCTATGTTAGTCTAAGATTTTATTTCTAACCTTTTCCTGCCAGCCTCTGTGCGGAATATATGCTGAGGATAAGGGTAGAAGGTGTCAAGGGAACCAGACCTGGAGAAAGAATGAATAGCAAACCTGCCCTCTCAGGGCAGCAGGAATGGGTGATTCTCCTGCTCCAACAGCAGCCACTGGTGTGTTCCCAGTAAGAGTTTTGTCATGCCAACATCAAAGTGGCATTAGCTCACCAGCTGCCAAGTGCATGGCCTCCTCTGGACTGTGGCTTTCTTATGATCTAGGAGACATTTGTGGAATGGGAGGCGGGTAGGGGCAGGTTTGTGGGGGTAAAGGAAAGGTGTTTCGTGAGGGTTGGCCTCATTTTAGTAGGATACAAAGCATCCTTACAAAGAGTTAAGATGGTTTAAAAATTGCTTAAATATTCCATATCCTTTCCAGAAATTTGAGAAAATAAAGGTAAGCAAAAGATGTTCTTACCCTGATAAAACACTACAAAATATATTATAAGGACATTGGTTTTATCCAAGGTCAGACATGTTCCAAGTCCACCTCTTGAAGGACCCTGTGATGTGAGAGCCCATGCTGATCCTTTTCACTTCTCTTTCTCTTCCTTTCCTCCTTTGATACAGAACAATAGGAAGACTGAGACAATGGGACAGGCTTGCAGTGGCTTTTATAGGGAGCGTGCTGTTGGCTTGCAGAGTGCCACCTGAAGGGATAGCCATTCTGGGAGAGGTGAGGCAAAGGGGAGCCCAGGTCCCATCCACATCCAACCCCTGACAGAAAGGCTCGCTCGCTATTGTGTGTATGGAGTAACAGTGACATCCTGTGGCCGGTCTGGTTGATCTAAGTGGCTCCTTTATAGATAAAGAGGACCATTTTGTCTGCACTGAAAGGTGAGCCCTCGGTTGGCTCCTTCTTCAGACAATACACAAAAGAGGGAAGGGCAGGACTCCTACCGCAGGCTTTTTGGCGTCTCTACCTCGCAGCTGTCTCTGATTTAGCTGGGAGAGATTCTTGGGATAGAAATTATGTCCCTTTTTATGCTTGATCAATTTAAATGTTACCATTTGAGTGTTGAGTGAACCATAATAATAACCATGAGAACAGTGAGAAAATAGTGACAGGAGAGAGAAGCACTTCGCTTCTTTATAAGACATCCCAGAGGATTAATGCAGAATAATCTGTTACTTAAAAATGTCTAAATTGCTTGACATTTAGCTGCATTTTTTTTTGAAGTTTTGGAAGCAATAACTTTATTTTGACCTTACTTAAGAGAGAAGAGGGCTGGGGAACAAAACAACTCTGATCTTAAGTTATTGTAAAATTCTTACGAAATCAGGGTATGTGGCCAAGCGCATGGCTCTGCTCACAGGGGCCTGGGAGTTGTGTGGTTCCAAGTCTGGCATGTGTAACCTCCCATAATGTTAAATACAGGTAGACCCCAGCTGGCACCTGGCTTTGGGTGTGATCAAACAGCAAATATGAAACCTCAGAGCTCCGGTGGTGGGTGTGAGCTGAAGGAATTCATTCTCCATCGGGATGCCCACCATCTTGTGGTTTCCATCCATCAGAAAGGGGCTGCCTCCCCTGAGACACCTCTTGACCTCTGCTCTTTCCTAGGCATCTCCAGGGTCCCTGCTCAGGGAATAAGGCAAAGGAAGCGTAGAAGTTTAGAAAGGAAGTTATGCTCTTGAGTTACGTGGACCTGGGTTCTAATCCTAGCCCACCACTCACTAGCTCTGTGACCTTTAGTAAATTCCTTAACTGTTTGCAGTCATGCTTTTCTCAACCATGGGAAGGGGTTAATAATAAGCACTCCCTGCCTGGGTTGTGGGAAAGTATGCAAGGCAGGGGGAGAGTGTGTGTATGCCCTGGGATCCACACCACACAGGGGAGCTGCCACACTTATTGCTTCATGCACAGCTGCGGGATCTGGCTTGAAGGCAACTTGGTAGGAGGGCTCCCTGTTCCCCCTTCTCTGAGGTTGGCAGAAGATCTCTGTCCTTGTCTACTGCAGCAGGTTGGGTTGAGGGCAGGGAAAAGTGAGATATGAGGGGGAGTTGGACGGGTGGGATGTGTCATGTGTGTGTGGTCTATATGTATGTGTGTATGTAGTATGGTCTAGTGTGTGTATGGTTTGTATGTATGGTTTTTGTGTGTAGTGTGTTTGATGTATGTATGTATGTGGTGTGGTATATGTGTATGTGGTGGTGTGTGTGGTATGTATATGTGGTGTGTGGTGTGTGTGGTGTGTGTATGTGGTATGATGTGTGGTGTGTGTGTAGTGTGTGTATGTGTATGGGTGGTGTGTATGTTTTGCTCATATGTGGTATGGTGTGTGTGTGATGTGTGGTGTATGATGTGTGGTGTATATGTATATGGTGATGTGTATGTGTGGAGTATCTCTGTGGTGTGTGTGTGTGATGTGTGTGTACATGATGGCGTAATGTGGTCATGTGTGTATGGTTTGTATGTATGTGGTATGTGTGTATATGTGGTATGTGAATGTATGTGATAGTGTGTGGGGTATGTGCGTACGTGATGTGTGTGCATGTCGGACGTCTGTGTGTACGTGATGGTGTATGTATATGTGTGTGTGTGTGTGTGTGACACACGCCTTCCCTGCCCACTGTCCTCTGGTCAGTGCAGGCAGTGGCCCCGGGTAGAGTGAGATGTGGGGGAGGCTGCAGGTGGCTGCCACACTCTGGATGGGGACAGAAGAAACAAAAGGGAAGGAACAAGGGACAGGGAAGCCAAGAAAATGCCAATACAGGAAGGAGATGGAGAGGATTAGAAAAAAGTCGGAGTTTCAGCACTGAGTATTCTCCTAGGCCATTTTAAAGTTCTCCAAAATCATGATAACTTAATTCCTGTGTCAATAAGGGTTTTGCTGACTTTCTGTCTAGTGGCAGAAAAAGGAGCAAGGCCAAGCTTCCTCCTAAAGGGCAAAAATCTCGTGTTTTAGTCCAGAGGTGACTTGACCGAGAACATGAAAGGATGGCTCGCAGCTATTCGGATCTGTGTCCGAGCTCGTCAGCCCATCGTGGGGACAGGAGTGATTCATTTTCCACCTCTCTACTTTCTGTCTCTTTCCCGTGTTTCTCCTCCTCCTCCTCTCGCTCCTTCTCCCTCTGTCTTTCTTTGCATCTCCCGACTTTGGGGGTGACTCTTGGCCCACACAGATGCCGTTTCCTCACTTTGTCTCAAAAACTTTGTCGCCTTCCAATTTTCTTACAAATTTCTTTATGCCTTTGGGCAGCCACCCTGTTTCATTCCAGTTTCTACTTGTGCTAAGTGACAGATGGATTTCCCACATCCTGGCTGGAAAAGAAAAGCAATTTGTTTGAAGATCGGTTCACTTAGGTGTCGATAATAATAAAGGGGAAATAATGTCACGGTGTCTAATTGAGACAGAGCATGAAATCACTACCCTCGTGATCACTGAGGGGGAAGCAAAGTTGAAGCCCTTAGAGGGTATCTATTTGAAAGGCATCGTGGCTCGAAGATTTGACCGTGGTGACGAAGAGGCAGGGAAATAAAACAAACCAAGTTTTTCTTGCTTGGATGGAGGTTTATTATCCTGCTCGTGTGAAGTCTGGGCCAGCAGTGCCGACGGTTTTGACTACCCTTCCGTGTTCCTCTGCACTTGGGCAGGGAAGATATTGAGATGGGCCAGCTTGCTCACATGACTTGGACAGGACAGAGACCTCTTTTGGGAAAAAAATGCTTGAAGTTTCTGATGGTGCAAATAACAAAGCTACTTACATTTCAAATTTATTTGTGAAAGCACATTAAACCCAGTTTTAGACACGAATATTTACACTTTTGAGTATGTGGCCCAGAAGAGTAAAGGCGATTCCAGAAAGTGCTTCATGTAATCAGTTTATGCCCATATGGAAAGCTCCAGGGCAGCCCACAGATGATGCTAGCACAATCCAGTTGGCACCTTCCCCGGTTCCTCCCTCCCAGTCTCTCCTCCCCCTCCTCATTACCACACTACTGTTTCCCCAGTTTCATGAGAAGAAAGAAAGCTGAAGAGGAACTGGTGGCTGGACGGCCCTTATGACTTTGCCAATTTTCTCTTCTCGCTGCTTGTCTTCCTCCCCAAAGATGGAGCTGACATTAGAAGGTATGTAAGTGTTTCCCTCTCATATGAGGCTGAAATACAGGGTTCTAACTTATCTCCTGGGTATCAGTAGGGATGTTTTTGGTCCTGAGGGACAGAAACTCTAATTTCTCATGGTTTCACCATCGAATGAACCTTTTTGGCTCCTGTATTTGTACAGTCTCTAAGTAAGGGTGCCTTCAGGTGTCTCCAATGGCCCAGTGGTATGAATCAGGACCCACGTCTTTCTTTCTTTCTGCTCCATCCACAAAATTATCTACTTCATTTTAAGACCAGCTCCTCTCATGGTCAAGAAATGACTCCCAATGCCAGTGGAGTGGCTATATTCCTCCCTGTCCATAAAGAAAGAGCGGTGGGCCTAGGAAGAGACAAGATTGTCCATGGTGCACACTCAAGTGAGGTTTTTCTTCTCTCTCTTTTTTATTTTGGGGATGTGCATGTCAAGACCATGGAACTAAATCCCAGGCATCAACTAGATAAACTTAAGTTGTATACATGTCCTGAAGTAATTGCTAAATTGCTACACATAGGGGATGACAGGTGCTAATTGTTTTATGCCAACAGGACCTACCCCTGGGCTGAGGGAGAATGTGGAAGGCAGAGAAGCTAAAATTACATGCTGTCATGTTGGAGGGGCTCTCCTTCATCCTATCTTTTCAGTTTTTATAAATTCAGTCTGTCTTCATCATCAAGTGTAAGAATCCATTTGTCTGGAATGTACTATTAGGATTGGTATACATTGTCTTTATAAAATCAGCCACTGTATTATTGAATAGTTGAACTGGGTCCATAGGCTCTCCATGTCCCATCGAGGGCAGTTCTGAAGTCCTTCTGTGGGCAGAGTAACTTTGTGGAGGGAATAAACATATGCTTCACGTGGTTTCTTAGCTATGGTACTTCTTCCTGGAACAGAATGGGCACCCTGGGAGTAAGACTATTTAGGGTCTGGCAGGTAGATAAAGCCATATAGGCAGGTGCTGGTAGCTTGAACTAAATGAATTCACTCTTTTCTGGAGTATCTGCTAGGAATCTGGACGACTGGTAGAGCAAAGCCTCTTCAGGCAGTGTGCTCCTACAGGCTGAACTGGATATTTCATGACGTTTCTCCATCCTTCCCCATCTGTTATTTTTTATTTGCACCAGAGAAGGGAAGGAAATCAATCCACTGGCACATCTACACTCAAACTTGTAAGTTTGGTTATAAAACTTGCATCTCCTTCCTGCTAGGAAGAACAGTCAGTAAGAATTCTAGGAAGCAAAAATAAAATACAAATTCTGGTTATCCGATTGTTTATACTAGGTTACCCAGGAAGCAAGTGGTAAGGGTCAGGTTAATTCCCACTGCTGGAGTGTGGGAGTGTGGTGGTGTTAGGGGGTTGGAAATGCTGGAAAGGAAACGACCCTGTCAGGTGCTAGCAATATTACCTGCTTGGCTGTCAAATGGAGAGGTGAACACTAGGCCTTGCCTGCTGCTATGAGATGCTCTAGCATCCCTGGCAGTAAGGGAATGGGTTCGAGTGGGATACCGTTGAATCCTGACCATCATTTTATACTTTCTCCACCTTGGACATAGACTAGGGGCCACCACACCTGCAGTCACAGAACAAGGTGGCATCATCTCCACAAAAACTTCCGGGGGCCCCTGGGTTCATGTGCCAGTGCAGGCAGGTTAAGGGGGTGAAGGGTGCTAGGGGCCCGGAGGGGAGCCAGACCTCTCACATCTCCTAGGCGAAGACTCCTTCACTCATCCTCCTTACTGAAGCAGGCGGACTCAGTTTTGGGTCTCTTCTTTCTTGGAATTCCCATTTATTCTCTTATAAATGCTTGCATCCCTTTCTTGGCTGAGTTACTTCTTTTGAGATTTCTCTTGCCAAACAACCTCTTTTTGCTTTCTCCACTCTTTCTGTAGGTGTATTCATATACTTAATCAGGTGCTTGCTTGATGCGATTCTGTTTCTTTAAGTGAATTTGTCTCCGTTCTAACTTCTTATGGGTTGTTTTTCAGTTGAACTCTTCAACTCTTCTTCAGTTGAAGGCAATCTTCTTTCTGAGTTATTTGTTGGGGGCCCTTTATTTTTGACTTTCCTATCTGTCCTTGATAGGACCATTTTCTCTGACTTCTATCACATCACTTCCTCTTGGCTTCCTTTAAGTCTTCTCCGTCAGCTTAACCTCCATGACCCACTTCACTGGGTCGATCAACTGAATGTCCACCAGCCAGGCACATGCACCACGCCTAGCCATGCCAGAGGGGGCTGGTGGGAGAGCCCTCTGCTGATGAACCTCGCCTGGAGGACCTTCTCAGGTGAGGGAGCAGCAGAGGCTCCCTGCTCTACTCCCTGTCTCTTTTCTGTCCCATAGTTTGGTGTCCTTCCTCCTGGACTCCTGCCCCTCCCTTCATCACTTTCTCTCCCTGGCTTGATCTTCCTCCCACCTACTTCTGCACTGCAGCTGTGCCTCTTGCTGGCTGGCAGGAGTGTGTTTAGAGGAAAGCACAAACCTTCCCCTCTGGGCAACCTAATGACCTCGCTAGTGACAATGTGGGTAAAGGGTACTGGATATGCCAGCCCACATTATGTCACCATGGCCTGAGGATTATTTGGAGCTAAAGGCACTTAAAAACCATCCTATGAGAGAAAAACTCTTCACTTTCCCTAACTACCTAAAAATAAAGTATAAATTTCCCTGTTTGTAAAGGAAACTTATAGGTATAAAGGAAATTTCCATTTATAAAGATATCTCAGAAAGTTACCCCTTGGAGACAACTCTTACCACCCAGGGACTCACATCTTTGTAACAGACAACCTTTATTTACCACACATCTTCTCCCCTCCTCTGCTTATGACCCACCTGCTAGGACCAGAGGCCCCCCTCCCTTGTCCTTTGTTTAGCCTGGGGTGGTGTGTAAATCTCAATCATCTGGCTGCCTCCTTGAGTCTAGCCTAATTAAACTATTATTTCCTCTTGTGAATCTGTCTTTTATCAGTTTGGTTCTCAGGTCCCAGTTGTTGAAAGTAGGAGGGGAGAAGGAGAAAGATTTTCCTTCCTATGGTGGCCCAAGCGATTCATTCCGAGCGGGCACCTTTGAAGATGTGGATCTTATGTGTGTATTATAAATTATTTTTATCTCTAGTCTCCATTCAAGAACAGTCTTTCATATGTATATGACTAAGGCTCTCATTCTGCAGATGGGTCTATGTTTATACTAAGACGTGAGGTTTTACTGCCATCTCCAAGTGTCTTCCATACTTTCCACCTTGGACGAGGGGCATGTTGAATATTCTAGGCCGTGATTCCATCACAGATGCCTTCCCTTGAGGGCCAGTCGCTCCCCCTCAGCTTCTCTGTTACTTTCTTCTCCTTTGTCAGAAAGGTGGCTTTCCATCAGGCTTTCCCTTTCTATTCAGGACAATCTCTTTTTTTCCCCACTTGGTGAAAGAAGCATTGGGAACGTGTTAGGAGAAGACGCAAAATGCGGTAATCTTGCTAAGGTTGGAGAAATCCTGACTGAGTTGCAGCAAGAAAACAGCTTGTTAAACACCAGCCGGGCAGAAGTTTTCGTCTCATTGGAACGCTACTTACTCAATGCTTGAACAGCTCTTGGAACAGCAGGAACCTGGGAGTGTCTCTGGATACAAAAGGCAAGCATGGTAGATGTTAAACTGGCATTCATTTATTGGAATCCATGTTGGATACTTCTCTCATTTCTCTCCTGGGAAGACCTTGCTGGTGGTAGCTTTGAGTTAGATGCACTCATATTTCAGACACTTAGGCCTCTTGCTTAGAGGGAAGATAGGCCAGATTTGAAAATGAAGTTGATATTCCTGTCATAGCACTAACAAAAGATGTTCTCGCAAACACAGAGGGGGAGGGAGAGACGGGAGAGAGAGAGTTTTTTGTTTTTGTTTTTGTTTTCATTTTTAGCGGAGAAAAATGTCACACGCCTTTGATCCACATTTCAAAGGGTGGAGCAAAACCACAGGATGCATACATCAGTAACTGGAAGGGTGTTGCAGTCAACAAATTAATACAGACCATGTCTACCTCCCCTACATTTTGCCCTTCTTCTTGTGCATGCTATTGATTGATATACCTCAGGGAGGAGATTCTTCTGACTCAGACACTAAGCAAGTTCCTAAGGAAAATATCAGCTTTAAAAGGGAAGAGAGGAAGTAGCAGCGGCAGCAAAAAATCGCTAATCTTTCATTTATAAGAGCTACTGAACATCTGGAGAGCAGGCGGCTCCTTTAACCCCTGGAGTGCAGGAACAAATGAGCACCAAAGGGCAGCCCATGCTAATGTGGTGCCATTAATTTGAATACAATGGAGGGCCCTATAATAAACATCTCCGGAGCCATCTGGGTTTTCCTTTATACCTTGCTCGGCTCCTTGGGGGCACCAGGAGGCACAGCTTAATGGGAGAGGAAATTCTTTGGGGGCCGAAGAATAGGGAAGATATCTTTAAAGAGCACCACTTAGTTTAAAAGAAAAATGTGTAATGGCCAAAGCGAGAAACAGAAACAAAAAAAGATCAAATAAGTCACGGGAAAAATGTTTTAAAGTATCCATGGGGGTGTTCCTGAAATTAATATTTATGTCTGTTGCTCACCCAGCATTCATAGCATTTTAAACCAAATGTCAGGGTGTGGGGGGAAGAGTAGAAGGAATCATTCGCATCGGGAATGATTAATGTGATGTTTACATTTTGGGGGAGAGTATGAGATCTGGAATTTAGTTGAAATTGGGCAACTTTTTCTATCATGTTTCTATGGGGCACTCCATCTGAGGAGTCTTTAAGTCCATTAAAAAATAGAAATGGAGATTATAAAGCTTGTTCTCTTTCCTGTTCTCAGGGGTCTTGTGGGATAATGTCAACATGCGGGCGAGCGGCTCTGTACAGAAGCCTGAGATAAACAATCAATGTAGGAATTAAGGTGGTCCTACAGCAGTTGTAGCTGTGGCTCCAATTTTAGAAATAGAGAAATATTTCTCTTTCTTTCTTT